ATTAGAAAGCTGATGTCAGAGGCCATCTGACTGGGTGATCCAATTGTGACGTCCTGAGTAGTTACCAGTAATGTACACAACAACTGTACACAGTTGTTGTTGTTGGGTGTTTTTTGTTTGATCTCCCCCTTTTGTGTTATGAAGATAAAGAACCCTTCCCACTATATGTTGTTTTTAACACATTTAACTAGTGCATAATGAGTGGCCATATAGGGTGAATCTGATTCAGTCATGTGAGGAGAGGTTCCAGTAGGAAAGGCATCCGGTGTAAAGCCTCTGCCAAATTAAACATGTGGAGCTTCCCGCTGTGGCAACTCCTTGTGAATAAGAGAGCAGATCCAAGTACCATGATCTTCCTCTTGCTAGTTTACAATTGATGTGACTGAGCAGGTAAATCTTGGCCAGTCTAGCCTCACATTTGCCAAACGACCAGTGTCAAACAGACATATGTTTGATGACATGTCAGTGCATCTCATGTTTGGGATTCAGAAAACAAATTTCCCAGTTGAGTATGACTGCAAACACTTTGAAAATACATTGAGAAGAAGGCTTGTAAAGTGCACAATCCTTAGTTAAGGTGTTGGGGTTTTTTGTTCCCTGTTCGGATGTGCTCACTTATCTTTGTGGTCTCTGCTGGACTTTGCAGGACGGAAAGAGATGCAACAAACTGGTCATCAGATAAGTTAAAATCTCTGCTTCTTGGATTGAGCGTGGAGAATGAGGAGGGAACGTGTGAAGTGACAGAAGTCAGCAAGGTGGAAGGAGAGGCCTCGATTAATAACCGCAAAGGGAAACTTATTTTCTTTTATGAGTGGAACGTGAAAGCTACTTGGACTGGTAAGTAGAAAACTAGCATTATTGTTTGTTTCATTTAAGGCAGTAGTTTGGTTTTAATTGTATCTCTGAAACTGGTCGTTTGGCTGCTAACAGTGGCAGTTACCGTCATTGCTTCCAGACTATAATTTAGCAGGCACTGAGACTTAATCAGCATTGTGCCAGCTTGTTTGCAAACATCTTGAATGCAGGGCACGATCTCTTATATGGTGAAGTTTTACAGCTCAGCCTTTAACAGGTAGATTTTTATATCTAATAGGGGGAAAAAGCTTCAGTGGCTTATAGAGAAGAGTGACTGAGCTAATATGTTGCATTTTTATTATCGTTACTAAAATAGGAGGCAGGTTTGAAGAGGCTTTGAATCTTTGCTGACATGTTTATTCTTTTTTGTTTGAACAGGAAAGTCAAAAGCAGGAGTCGAGTATAAAGGAACAATTGAAGTTCCAAACCTGTCTGATGAAAATGACATGGAGGATCTTGATGTAAGTTTCACCAAAGCACATGTGCACACTGATTCAGGCTGGCTGGAAGGTGGAGGAAGAGTTTACCGAGTTTACTTTCCTGTGTCGTGTCCAGATTTCTGTATCGTTGAACAAAGATGAACCCGACACGCTGCTGATGAACCTGATGAAAACGAAAGGAGTGGATAAATTCCGCGACGCATTGCAGAGCTACGTTGGGTTCTTAAAAACAGGTGAGCTAACGAACAGCAAATTTCTCCCAGAGCCTAATTGCTGAACACATTGAGATTATGCATGATTGTAAATCGTTAAACTCTTTTTGGGTAGAATTTGCGTTAAGAGTTTGCCAGATTCAGTTTAGGTCAAAGAAAAGGGTCAAATGCTTACCGTATTTCCCGGACTACAAAGCGCACCTGAATATTAGCCGCACAAGCTAAAATCAGGGGGAAAATCCTGTTTTGTACATACATTAGCCGCACCTGACTTAAAGCCGCAGGTGTTTCAATGTTGACTTATCATATGTAAGAGAATATGCACAAAGGGAATTGTCAGGAAAGAGATGGCTGTTTGGAGACACACCCCTTTTATTAATATTTTGAAAAACAAGTTAGGGGTACATATTTGCATAACTTTTTAGGGTATATGTACAAGTACCGGTAATTACAAGTACAAAACATGTACTGTGCTTCATAAATGAGTAACAAATGTAGTACATAACAATAACCTACAGCACACCAGAAAAATAGATTCAGCCTACCTTTTAGGCTCAGGTGCAGTGACACGGCGTTAACAAGAAGAAAAGTCAGTCATTCACCATCTTTCTCTTCTTCCTGCGCACTAAAACCACCAAAGTCCTCTTCTCCAGTGTCGGAAACGAACAGGCTCAGGATGGCTTCATCATTCACTCTCCGCTTCTCTCCTTCGTTGTCACTTTCAAAACCAAAGAAATCCTCGTTGTCAGTGTCAGAGTCGAACACCCTCTGAAGGGCCGTGGCGGTGTCCTCCTCTTCATCATGCAGCAGTCCAGCCCTTCGAAATCCGTTGGTGATCATGGATGTTTTCACACTTTTCCACACTGTCAGAATCCACCGGTGGAGCATAACTTGCTTTTCGCAAGTTTATCGCCGCTCATCATCCACGCCTCCAGCTGAACGCGTAGTGCTACTTTGAAGTTTGTTTTTCGCGCTACTTCGTACGGCACTACGTTGCCTGGCGGATGGACATGTGACCAACATACCACTCTTGAACCCCGATACTGTGTGTCTGATCACATGCCCTTCCGCCAGGCAACGTAGTGCCGTACAACAGCGGAACAAACAAAACAAATCGTCTTACGATATCACAAAAATCATGGACAATCCATAGAAAAGCCGCACCTGACTAAAAGCCGCAGGGTTCAAAGCTGGTGCAAAAAGTAGCGGCTTATAGCCCGAAAATTGCGGTATATTTATACAAATTCTTCTTTCTTTTTTTTAATTGCAGAATTCACACAGGGGATGATCCTACCCACAGCCAATGGTGTGGCCAAACCACAGTCCACATCACAGTCCAAAGCTAAGCTGGATAAAACTGAGGTTGGTGCACATCAATCACATAGTAAAGATTTTGGACTTTGACACTCACTTTGTCCCCATTTTATTTACTCTGATACCCGAAGCAGTGTTAAGCCTGCTTTCTGTGGTTAAATTCCCACCATTCAGTTGTTGTTCATGTCAGATTACGTGGAAGGTTTAAAGCAGTTTCTAGTTACGTCAAAAATTATGACGTTTCTGCAGAAGTCTAAACCAGGCTTTAGTTATGGCACATAAACTGATCCGTGCTCACCAGACTTCTATGCTTGTGTGGAACAGATTTCCTCCTCTGCCAGCACAGCCACTCCCGTCAACACCGGCGTCAAGATCCCCACCTGTAAATTTACATTGAAAGAAACGTTTCTCACCTCACCAGCTGAACTCTACAGGGTCTTTCTGAACAGAGAGGTGAGCCTCAGCTGTGTGTTTGATTGGAAACCCAGGCTGTGGTTGTGTCTTGTTAAGTCTTTCAGTAAAAATGGACTTTGCTTCTTTTGATTTTGGGGCTTCTTGTCAATAAACAGATGGTTCAGGCGTTCACGCGTGGTTCAGCCACAGTGGATGGAGAGAAGGGCGGAAAGTTTCGTCTGCTAGATGGAAATATTCTGGGCGAGTTCACAGAGCTGGTGAGTCTGATCTATGACATTTAAAAATAAGCATTTGTGTATATGAATCATTTACTTGACTGTACTGCACCACATTAACGTCACTTTACCTGAGTAAATTCTAACACAAGTCCTCTTGCTTTCAGGTTCCAGATGAGAAAATAGTTATGAAGTGGCGGTATAACACCTGGCCCTGTGGTAGGTTTCTATTTTTCAGTATGTGGGAACAGTGCTTACTATCATACAACAAACTGGACCATTTAAATTCAAATTTGAAAAAAAAAATGTACTAGTATAGATGAATTCAAACACATAAACTGTGAAATAATAATTGCACAGCAGTGGTTTGTGTTATGGCTCAATAAAAAGGTCAGCTTTTCATTCACCTACTATAATTTTATCCTCATCTGTAGCTCACTTCAGGGTCAAAAATTATCTCCTCGGATCTCTCTTCCTTTTATGCTATCGTGCTTTTATAGTTAAAAGTATGGATTTATTTTTTTTTTTTGCCACAGAGCACTACGCCACGATCACAATGACGTTCTTGGACCGGAGCAGCGAGACAGAGCTGAAGGTGGAGTATCGAGGCGTCCCAAACAGCCAGGAGGAGCAGACGAAAGAGGGCTGGAAGAGATACTACTTCGAATCTATTAAACAGACATTTGGCTACGGAGCACGGCTCTTCTGAAAACTGTGTACTGTAGTGCTGTTTTGTTTTGGTTTTCTTTCCTGTTTTGGATTTTTAATCTTTTGTCCTTCGATCTCTGGCACATCCGACTGTAAACTCAGAGCACGACTTAACAGAAGAGACAGCATAAGTGAGGCCAATCCATCACCTCTCTGTGTGTAAATGTTTTCTTTTCTGAGCATATTTAAAATCAATCTTTGTTTTTGTTCCCCCTCCTTCAGTATTTGGATCAGTTGTTCAAAGGAGAATGAATGGACCGTGCCTTTGGGACTCGGGATAAATAATGGATTGAATAAAACAAAGGGATCTATCGCACCACTACTTCAAATTGGCCTCTACGTCTATAAATATGTAATTATTGCAGGAGATAAACAGAAATGTTTTCTTTTATTTGAAAAACAATGTTTAAAAAATGAATGTTTATTTTTTACTTGTATTGCTCATTTTGAGTCATTGTAGTGAAGATGCATGTTTTCATTCCAAACTGCCCCCCATGTGGAAGAATGACGTCCGATCACCTGCAGCGGAGCAGGACTGTACTCCAGCTTGTTCCTCTGAGACTAGATTGGATGCTCATTACAAGTGTAGCGTCTGTCAGCGTGGATCAGCAGGAGGAACGTTAGCGAACCTCATCAGTGCTGGGATATGGAAACAGTCTCACCTCCTCATGCAGGTCACTGCGTAGCAACTGAAGAGAGATGTTTTTGCTTTATTTGGTTTCAAAATGTTAAAAAAAAAAAAAATCCAGTAAAAATAACCTTTCAGAACAGAGTGCATCTATTTATTCCTCATTTCACGCCATCACAGTGTAAAAAGGTTAGTTTACTGGAATAAACCAATCCCTATATGCTTGCGACTTGTTTTTATTCAACTTCTTTACATCCGAACTATCTGGAGATTCCAATTATTTATTTACATAAGTTATTTATTTTCATATATGCAAAAATCTTTAAAACTTTTAATTTACAAGTGCTCTAAAAATAGACACCACAAAGGCCACTATTTCTTAAAATAAGCACTTAGTTTGGTTTTAAAGATTGCTGCACATCCTACCGGAAAACAAAAACAAGCAAAAAATAAAGTAATACACTGAAAGCATCTAATTTGTATCAAAGAATATACATCTTCAAAATACAGTTAAAAAAAAAAAAGAGCTGCACACTGTCTAAAAGTGTTCCAGAATAATCTCAAAACTCAATATTGTAATCTAAATAGCATCATTATTCAAGCATGTACTGCTCTACAAACACAATTTCCTAATCAGCAAGAAGAAGGAAAAAAAAAAATCTACAACTCAGTGCAAACTTCCACAAAAGATTCAAGTGATCCTAAAATATATCTGCTCCAAACAAAGATCCCTTATCCTCCCAAGAAAAGGAACTCTTTATTTACCCAAAAGCTGGACTTGAGCTAACGAAACAACTTGTACGTAGACGTCAGCTGAAGTATTGCGATTACTTAGCCTCACTTATTTGTGACCAAAATCCAGGACAGCAGAGACAAAAGACAAATGTAAGGAGACATAATGAAATGAGGCGCTGCTGTGACTTCACAGCGGCTTCCGCTGGTTGCACAGTCATAAGCAGATGTAGAGCTCCGACTCCTGGAAGGAGGAGAGGAAATGATTGACTAACTGAAACAAGAAGGGGTATTAACATGTCCGCAAAGTTCATAAGCTCTTAGTAACCAAGGTAACTGATAAGAATTTGTTCTCCGTCTTCACCCTTTCACCCACGGATCACCACAACCGTTCTCTAGACAAGACAAACACTGCTGAGGTAAGAAGTACTCTACACTTTTTCAGAGTAAAATTATCACTATGGCCTCAAGGGGGCGCTGCTGCAGCTTTTAGCATGCAACACAAAAGTGTCCACTACTGCTTGAGTGCCAGAAACACAAGTACACACATTCTGAGAGCTGATTGGTTCGGTTCGCATGTTAGTTGGAGTAAGATTTTGTTTTTAGTTACTACGTACGCTGGCACTCGAGTCGTTGTCAAGTGAGTCGAGGCTACCTTGCGGAGCCATTTCCTCCACTTCAGGTGGTTTTTTAACAGAAACTTCATGCTGTTTGTTCCTTGAAACAAAGAAAAGGTCAATTATCATAAGAATTTAATAATGTTGAGGGCATTTGGAGGCTTTTTAAGAAGGAATTAGTTACATTGACATTAAAGGTACACTCTCTACCTGTATAAAGGCCACATACTCATGCTTCTGTTGTCCTTCTGGCTTGTAGGCGTGGTTTGTGCTACCAAGTCTTTGAGAAAATGGAAGAGCTTTTCTGACTCTATGCATTGCTTCCTATAAAAGCACAAAATGTAATACATTATATGCCAACTTTTCATATACATGCATGTGAACGACATGCTAAAGAGAAAAAAAAGCAAACAAACTGACAGTATATTGATTTCATTTGCTTTTTTTGTTAAATATTCAATTTATTTTATTGGGGATAACTAATGTTAAGAGCCTAGGAACTGTTTTAAAAACAACAGCATACAGTATTCTTGATTCTTGAGCCACCGCTGATTCTTTATATTAAAAAAAACAAAACAGACTTTTCTTATAATTTCTTATAAAATGGTCCAGAACAATAACTCCCCAAGCTTTCTGAAGGTCTTTCAAAGTTTTTCTTCAAACATTGGCCTCTTTTTCACTAACTTTCAGTCCAGTCCTTGTACCTGAATATTTTTATAGGAATGGTTTTTGTTTATGCTACTTAACATTGACCTATGAACCTTAAAAGGCCACGTAACTAAAGTAAGACGACCCATTTTGGTCTCATCCTTAACAAATAGGGTGAAAGGGGGGTGGGTGGGGGGTGGGGGTCATTAAAGACCTGGCACAGGACCTAAAAGCTGCATTTGAAGCTTCAATTGATCCATCTCTGTTTCGCTCAAGCCTCATCAGAAATGATCTCAGTGGAATGGTGGCTGTCAAGAAGCCATTAGTAAGGAAGGGAAACAGAGGAAAAAGGCTGAGGTATGCCAAAATATACAAAAACACGACTGAAAATCAGAGGCAACAATGGCAAAATGACACAACATTTGAAATTTTTGGTTCAAATTGTTGTGAAGCAGTATGGAAGAGTTCAGGAGAAAGGCACAACATGTCTGTTTGCAGCCATCTGTAAAACATGGTAGAGGTTCTGCCAAGTTTGAAAAGCAATGCCAGCATCACTGGCTGCAGGATCATGTGATCCCCAGCATCACTGGCTACCAACACATGACGCTACCATCAGATTTTGATCCACCATGCAAAAACAAAGTATCTAATTGGCAGAATTTCATTTGTCAGCATGACCATACACACTTCCAATGCAGTAAAAGCATACATGGACAGAAAAAACACACAGTGGGACAATATCAGTCATGGATTGGCCTCCCAAGACTCTGGACCTCAAAATCAGTGAAGCAATCTTGGATTGTCATCACAGAGATCACAACAAAAGGCAGCCAACATCGAAAGAAGAGCTTTGAATGTCCTTCAAAAATCCTGGAGAACTATTCCCACTTAATGAAATGACAAGACGGAGATTTCAGGCTGTGTTGAAGAATGAAGGTCCTCGTACCAAATATCGATTTTCATGGTTGTTAAAAATGTACAAACTCTATGTTTTATAAGTATGTCGGTGCATGTTTCAATAAATCGCTGCATCTATTTTCCATTTTCCTAGCAAAGTATAAAGAAGTAAGAGGTGGATCAAGATTGTTGCACAGTACTGTAACCTGTTCAGTCATTTTTTTAGTTGAAATTTGTGAGGAACCTCGTGCGTAGTAAGTCTGAGTGAATGCTGTCATATTCAGTTAGATATGAACAAGATTATAATTGCACGTATGTCTTCTTCATCTTCACAAAAGACAGTTTGCACGCCTGCAACAGTCGAAGGTGCGCATAGATCTCGTGAAAATATCTGCCTCACTTACACTCATAATATTTCTCTTCCAGTGTGAAACCCTAAAGCACTGCTTTCAGAGATGAGGACAGAAAGTGAAACAGGTCATGTGAACCAGACTCACTGACAATAGGAGCTGGCTTTAGTTTATTGCTTCCAGCTGTTTTTGGAAGTCTTTCATCTAAATGTTCTTCTGTGAGCATAGAGTGTTGCATGCATTTACGCACAGGGCACAACACTGCTGATTTCATTAATTACGTCTACATATACCATCATTTTAGCATCTTGGTTGGATTAGTCTTGATTAATTCATAATCTCATATACTTGAGCTCAAATAACAAAGTCTTACTTACATGTGAGCCACAGACACAACAGCGCTGAGCTTGGACTCTGTAATCACGCAGGTTTTGGTCAGCAGAGACTTCAGGAATATCTCCAAGGCCCGAGCTTATTGATGCAGTATGGGATTTCACAGCTCTACAACACTTTCAGCATGTATTTACATACTTGCTTTGACATAATACAGTTACCATTTAACACTAGCTAACATCAAATATCCACACCATCACAGCAGAAAACAGTTCCTATCACCTGGAGGGATGTATCTTAGTGCAATAAACTGAACAATTTATTGTTGAGCCATTGTGTGTATTCGCTTTAATCAGCCTAAATTAATGTTTAATTCAGTCTAACCAATATCCAATACCTAAAACAACAAGATTCATTAGGACAGTTTATTTATTTTGCTAAGCGATTGGCACTTGAACGCAACTGACTTTAACTCCCAGCAAGTGCCTCAGGAGAAGCTGGAAGAAGATGCTGCTTCGGCAACTCATAAAGGATACATATGATTACAGGAACTGCCATCGCCATCCGGCCCACCTCAGCGTCCTTCTGCATGATTTTTCTGATGCGCCTCTGGCAACAATATCAAAGAGTTTACAGCTGTTCAAGCAAATGGAAGTTACGGTGCATTGAGGAGCACTGAGTAAACTGCATGTAACTGATGAAATAACTGTTAATAGCAGCTGAAGGTGGGTTTTTTTTTAATGGTTCATATGTGAAAAACAATATGTGACATGTATGTACCAACTATTTATACTACAAAATAGGCCTACATACATTTCATTAAAAAGGAAAACAAGTTTCCCAACCACAACATAAAAAATGGAAGGAACAGAAAGCACAACGTCCTGCAAACTCGTATTCATTGAAAAAACATCGAAACACCTTATATAATGGTACCGTTTTTTGTTGTTGTTTTTTAACGAGTAAGTAATTTAGCCTAGTAGAGCTAAAGCATTTTTATTAACATATTTCCTAGTTTGCTAGGCTAGCTCGCTAATAAACATGATTTCCAGCAGTCTTTGAATGCAACAGTTGTCACACGACTACAGTTACCCGTTAGCTCGTTTGGCAGCTTTAATTTTCCACATTATTCCACATTTACTCACAGCAGGGAAGCGTACGTTATATCTTCTCTTCTGTCCGGACATTTTCGTCGCTTTAATCCGCGCCGCTCGAACACAGTTTTCATATTTTTACCGCAAATCGCTGCTTCGTCCATATGTTTACCTTCAGCAGGAAGAACCCCGCAAAAAATGCCCCAGAAAAGAAAAAACACACACCTGAGGTCAACCTGTCCTGACCCCGACAATGACGTCATCACACTGGCGCGTTAACAACTCGTGCTAAAAATGGTTTTAAAAAAATTCAAAACGTTAACTATTTAGGACTTTAGATACCATTGATGTCAGTTCAAATGTATTTATATAGTACCAGTTCACAACAACATTCTCAGCAAGACGCTTTACGTTGTCAGGTAAAGACCTTACAATATTAGAAACAAAGTCCAGTAATCAGATGGCCCCCTATGAGCAAGCTCTTGGCGACAGTGGGAAGGAAAAACTCATTTTTAAAAGCACAAAACCTCCAGCAGAACCAGGTTCAGGGGTTGGGGTGATTGGAAAGCGATAAGAGCAGCGTGAGACAGGACAAAACACACACATGGGAGAAAAAGCCCGAGTTTAATCATCGCTAATGATCAAATTCAATCGAGTTGGATAAACACTTGGAGAGGGAAGAAAGACAAATAAAGTAGAAACACTCAATCCATGGGATATGGGAAGGCCTCAGCAGCCTAGGCCTATTCCAGTATAATCAAGAGATGGTTCAGGGTCACCTTATCCAACACTAATTATAATCTTTATCAAAAACCAAAATTTTAAGCCTAACCTTAAAAGTAGAGAGGGTGTCCAAAAAGTCCAAACTGGAAGCTGGTTCAACAGAAGAGGGCCTGAAAGCTGCCTCTGTCAGGATAATGGGACAAATGTATAATGGGACAAATGACACCTAAAGGACATATCCTGTCAGCAATAACTCCAACATTCCTCACAATGTTACTGTTACTTAACATAGCCATTATTTGATTTATATTGGAATTCATCTATTTATTCATTAATATTACCTACAGCTAACATGACAAATTAAAAAATAAAAGCATGTCCTATAGGCTGCTTTTCAGATTTTGCAGCATTTAGGCCATATATAGGGCCCTCCCCTGCACCACTATGTGCAATTAAAAAAATGAGTGGATGTATGAATTTTGCATTTACTATATTACTGCATGAAAACATCCACATTAATCATGTTAAGTACACAAATAAAGAAATACATATTATTAAATAAGAAGATTTCAAGTTTTTCTGTTGTGGCCACAGGATATTTTTAACACTGAAAGTCCTCTTACATAAGTTCACATTTTAAAGCTGGCCATTTTGCTTTTTTAATACTTCACACAGTTTTTGTTTGCATTCACGCACCATCTGCTGGACTGCAGACCACCCGGAAAACACGGATGTTTTCATTTGCTTGCGGTGACATATTGATCTTCAGCAGAGTATCACTCTGTCTGGACCACTCTGGCTTCACTAATGACTGCAAAGGTTAATCAGATAAGGTTAATCAGTACTCACTGAAAAAGATTATGTAAGACTAATAAAGCATCGACACCAGCAGGATAACTGTTATCTTTACTTTATGCATGCATGTTCTTTTTTTAAACATATTTGTGCCGACTGGTGGTAATTGGTGCATTTTTCATTAACACTTCTAGTCTCAACTAGTTTAGATTTTAACCATTTATAACCTGGGACATTTTTTTTCATGTAGCACCTTTATGGAAAAGGAGAAAAATATAACCAGCCATTATTTCAATTCAAATATATCAACGGGATTTTGGAATAAAAGCATCTTTCTGCTTCTAAGCATTTTATTTGTAGTACTTTTCTTACATACAATTTTAGATCATAAGAATATAAAGGTTAAGTAAGGGATGTCAAACTCATTTTAGATCATGGGCCACACACAGTACAGTCAGCCCACTTTGAGTTTAAACGAGTGAAACTCACCTTTCTGTCAGTGTAAAGAAGTTTAAATACACATTTAATCCCTGACATAGATTATATAAGAAAAAGTGCAATTTCAGCTGTAAATCTAAGTGCTATCGAAATGACAAAGAAATGCTGCTGAAGTAAATGAAAGAAATTACACAACTCTTTTGCAAAATTACAGAAACTTCATGGTAGCTCATTGCCCAGAAAGATTTTTTTAATGTAAACTCATTGTAAATAAGAAAAAAGAAAAGAAAAAAGAATTGTAGGTATTGAAAAAACAGGAATGTTGTTTATTTATTACTTTGGTATATTATGAATTGCCATGTGTGAGATCTTTATCAGAGAAAAGTTGTAAAAGGTATGAAAATACAGTTAAAAGTCCAAAGTTTATGCCCTCCTTTACAGTTTTTGACTCTATCCAATGGGCCAGATTCCTGAGCCAATTCTGGCCCCCGGGCCTTATGTTTCACACCCCTGGTTTAGGCCGTCTGCAGTCAAACAAATAAATCCAATTTTCTGCTGATGTGACTGCCTCGCCATTAATGAGTGAACTAAAAAAAACTTAAAATAATATTCACTGCATCTTGATGCATTCTCAATCATCCAGGTAAGTAAATCTCCAAAAGCTGATTCTGTTCATCTGGACGTAGCGTGCAGATAACGCTACGTCCAGATGAACAGAATCAACTTTTGGAGAATATTCACTGCATTCTTATAAAATAACATTGCCCCTCAGCCCATAAAATGCCCTACAACCTGGCATGTTGCAGACCTGGGATTGATTTTCTGCTGAGACGTGCAGATAAATATCTCAACCCTAATTCAGGAAGTGTGGCCTAACAACATTAAAATCAGTTACACTGCCTGATAAAGGTGCATGGCATTGAATATTTATGTGTGGTGGTTGTGGGGAGAGCAAACAAAACAGCCTCCAGTGTGTTTGAGGGGGAGTTTTGAACTTAAGAATCTTGCAGGTGGGGATCTGAGTTTTTGTTTCCCCTCAAGGAATCAACTCGAGTCTTTCCACAGAGAGGAATTTACAGCCACTGTAACTGTAACACTGACTATACAAGAGAGGGAAAAGAAGAGAAATAAACCCAGCCCTGCCAGGACCATGACAAATAGTAATATCTGGCATATTTAGCCAGCTTAGAGTGCTGAGTTCATTATACATTCATAGCACATCATAACAGAATGGAAAAAGTAGTGTTATGTAACGCCACCTGGTGGACAGCTTTTGTGTAGAATAAAGACTCGACAGAGGGATTGGAATCCCACAACTCTGAGTTTTGTTCACTTGAAAAGTTGTAGTACTCGAGACACAAACGAGAGAAATAAAAAAAAAAAGCCTTCTGTGTTGGTTTGCAGGTCCCTGACACGTGGAGCTCAGTCAGTGCATCTTGGAGCATCAGGCCAGTCTACCCGGCCCATTCAGAGGTGGCTATCTTAGTCCTTTCACATTTCTCAGATTGCACATACTGGATTCCTCTCCTTGACTCCTATCCTTAACCCCCTTTGTACTTCCCACCAGTGATGCAGGCAGAGGAGAGAGGGGTGGAGTCAGCAGGCCTTTGACAAAATAAGAGCACCTCTCTTCAACGCTTCATTTTAAAGCAATTTCAGGTAAATATGATCTTTGGCTCAACTGCATTATAACTTATTGTCGTTGTTTTTTATTTTATTAGCCCAACTACATCTGCATTTTATGATGTAGCAATGTTAATAGGGTGTTATATTTTCTGGGCACTTTCAATTCAATTCACAGCACAGTGCAATTAGAAAAGACATGACACTTTTTATTAATGCACACAGAAACAGTGAAGGGCAGACAGATTGGTCATGCTACATAATTGAAACAACATCTGTGTGCTAGACTTCGTTCATACACTGAAGGTGAAAACGCTTCTGAAGAGAGTGCATTCATACGTCCTGTGTTACAGCTCCTCCTGCATCGTCTTTTTCCTCTTTCCAGGTGATGAGTATGCAAAAATCAGGAAATGTGAACGCAAGGCCTTAACTTTTGCTCACTTTCAATCCACCAAGATCCGTGTTAGCAGTTCAGTTGGTTTCTAACTTATTAATTTAGTTTTATATCATCTAGCCACTAGAAGCAAAGCTAGAAGTGTCTTACCTGGGCTAAGGAGAAAAAGAACTGGAATTCATTTCAAGGCTGTGGAAAGAGTGGAGAGGCTGAAAATGCAACCTGTTTGAAGTCCAGTGTAAAGTTTCCACACTCTGTGATGATTTGGGGTACTGTGTCAATTGCTTGATGCTGGTGATGGTTGGTCCATTGTGTTTTATAAAGTCCAAACTCAAAACTGCCGTCAACCAGAAGATCTTAGAACACTTTGCAGCTGCCCACAGAGCCAAAACTAAATAGCCAAACGGTTTGCCGATGATGCTGTTACTGCCAATAGAGAAACTGTTGTGCATTGAGAGGAATATGAGAAATGCCCAACCAATAATACAACTGAGCTGAGGGCCACTATCAACTGTCCCCATGTCACACCACACTGATGTAGTAATGCATAGTAAAGCAGCCCCAACCAAAGATTATGTGTATGCAGAAGAGCATCTCTGGATGTACAACATGTAAAACCTTGAAGCAGATGGCCTACAGCAGCAGAAGACCACACCGGAAACCACTCCTGTCACACAAGAACAAGTTTTGACTTCTGCTGCAATATTCACATGGTAGGCTCAGAAATTAGGCATTTACAGCATTTCATCCTGCAGCAGTGGTTCTGACTGATGGTGATATGGTGGTGTGTGCATTTTTGAGCTCCTTAATACCAACTGGACATTGCTTAAGTGCCACAGCCCAAGTTTTGCTGCTGAGCATTTCCGTCCCTTTATGACCACAGTGTCTCATCTTCTGATGCCTGCTTCCAGCATGTTAATATGCCATATCACAAAGCCCAGATGATTTCAAAGGGGTTTCTTGATCATGACAATGAGTTTACTGTAATCAAATGGCCTCCACAGTCACCTGATCAATAGAAAACAATCACCCAAACTTTATTTATGAAGCACATTTCATACAAGTTGGAACATGGACAGGAAGTTTAATGCCCACCGAGCTACAGAAATGATCCAATAATTAAAAATTTATGAGTTGTTGTAAAATGATTGGCAAAAAATAAAGATAAAGAGATTGAACAAAACCTGCTATACAGTTTATGTCAGAAC